AAATAGTGGTTAGAGATGATTAGAGAGCTCATAACCTGCACCACCAGTGTTAGTGCTCCCGCCCAGAGTAGGGTACAGTCCTTCACGTGTTGTTCACCTCCCGCACCACACGCTCAGCTTGGATCCAAGTTAGGTGCACAGTCTTGTCGTACAGACCACTATAGGTGGTTCCGACTCGTAGGTGACCCGCGATTATTCGCAGAGTCTTCACGTGATCGTAGCACTAGAGCGTTTATATGTATTACACCCAGGCCTGTCGTACAGACCACTATAGGTGGTTCCGACTCGTGGGCAGGTTCAGTGATTGAGATTGAGATTTGAGCTCTAGATTCAGCTGCACATGTCACTTTAGGGGACTCCGACTGCCAGATTATATGTTATTGATGTGATTTATACCTGAGCATTTGCATTTCATTCTGAGGTTCCGACATGGCATATTATGGAGCATGATTGGCATATTTATTGTATACGTACATATGTTTATTTTCTGGGAAGTATACAGGTTTTACGGCGAGGGGTTAGAATGTATTTTACTAAATGGTTTTCAAAGAGCTTTGTTTTGCCCACTCACGCTTTTGTTTTGCGCCCCTCCAGGTTCTAGTTGCTTAGCAGGTTCGGTGGTTTCCCCGGAGGGCTTCCAAGCATTTCTGACAGACACTCACCAATGTAGGGTCACCTTCGGGTGCACGGTTGTCGCATCATTTTAATTTGGACTGCTGTAGACTTATTGCTCTGAACTTAGCGTCTCACTTACGCTAGCACTCATTACTTTTATCGTTTGTATGCTAGTTTTTATTTATTCATACTTTTATATTATTACTTTATTAGCTTCTGCACTGTGCACATGGCTACGTCACTTCCACGTGACGACCAGCACGCCCTGATCTTGGTCGGGGTGTGTCAGATGTAGCTAACTCTGGTGCTACCAAAATTTCAGGGGGATCGAGTCACGAAACTGGTATACCTGCACAAGTTGACCCTATTACTCATCAAGGCTTTGGGCTTGGCTTTAATGCATCGGATTATCACTCAAGGAATTATTCTTCTAATCCCGGGCCAGAAAATATTGGAAGCGGTAACAGGATGGCTATGGAAGAAGAGGTGGTATTCAAGTTGCTATGTCATGTTGATAAGGTTGATAGTCTGATAAGGAAAGGTGGAAGCTCAGAGTACAACACTAGTGAGTATAGGGGGGTCGATTTGGATGCGCTTATGCTTATTTCCAAATTTTCATTGTAGTGGATCAATGTTCGTAGCACTACATTCCAACTCCTTGATAGTTGGCTTAAAGTGGACATGAAAAACTAGCTTTATAAGACATATTATAGGATTGTAACAAGTACTTGCAAAATTTTTACATTGATTTTTTTGTATATGTAGTTGAATATATGATTATTAATATAAAAAAAAAATTGGCATTGAAAATATTATTAAATTAAAAAAAAATTGTATTTGTATCCTTTTATTTTTGTCAACAAAGTAGGATCAACGGAAATGTACAATTCCAACGACTCTTGCCCTCACAAATATGTTTTTGTGCATATTTTCGACAATTCTTAATTGTCAGTAATCGTAATTGTGATGATTGTGTGCTCTTGTAAACAACATTTTACTATTGGAAAATCATTTTTCGACATAATGTTTTGGTCATAAGAAAATCATCGCAAAAAATAAATGTCGTCATTTGGAAAGTATATTCATGGTCATACAAGTATTTGCGACCACATAGACATGTCAAAAATAAAATAATTTTGTCATTTTTAAAAATGGTTGTCATGAAATTGTGATCTAAAATTGATGCATTCCATAGACAATGATATAAGACAATGATATGCTTGGCATGCAACCCATCATCTTTAATTTGACATTTGTTGTCACATATACACACATATATATTCTTTGAATTGTTCTAATATTTGTATCATAATTAAAGTTGTGGTTGTGTGGTTTTGGTGTAGTGAGATATGAGGAGTGAGGAAGGAGCTACATAAACTATAGTGAGCTACATGAAGTAGTGAGATACATGAAGGAGCTATATGAAGGAGTGATGAAGGAGCTACATACACTGTATGTACAAAAGGGAGGATACTTTTATCTGCATGTCTGAGAACTTGTGTTAATATGTTCAAACACATATCTTAGGTTTGTAATGAATGTATTGGCTTTACCACATGGATCTTATATACGTTTGTTTTTATTAATGATAATACAAAATATTCTTTAAACAATGCTCAGTGGAAATTTTACCAAAAAGCATATATTTCTTGCCTCAATTTCCATTGGTTTATTAATCATTTTTTATAATTTAATTACAATATTTATAAAAAAAATTAAATAAGAAATATTTTGTCAAAAAAAATAGAAAAAAAAAAAGGGTTTGCTTGACGAAGAAGTAACATGTGTCGCGCAAAGAATTTTTCTGCGACCTAGGTACTGTTGTCGCACAAAGACCTTTTGCGCAACGCAAGTTACTTCTTTGTCACGCAAACACTTTTGCGCGACGTAGGTGCTGTCGTCATGCAAAGACCTTTTGCGTGACGCAGGTTTTTCTGTCGCACAAAGTCCTTTTACATGACGCAGATTGTCTATTCGTTACGCAAACTCTGCTTTCATTGCCTTTGCGCGATAGTTGGCATGCGACGAAGGTTTCGTTGGACTAATTTTCAGGCAACATTTTTTGACCTTGCGTAACGAAGGTACCTGCGCCGCGCAAACGGTTTTTTGTACTAATGAAGGCTTGCATGTATAAACACTCAGCGTTATTAAGCTTCACGTTATATGTATCATTAAGAATTCCCTTATGTTGCAAGACTTAATAGTATCAATACGATATATATGCTGGTCAAATTTAAAACATCGTTACATTTCAATGAACTTGTAACACTACGTCCACAGGCGCATGCCTAATTGTTTGGAATCACTAGATTAGATTATACTGTTTGTTCATATATTATGATATATATATATATATGTGTGTGTGTGTGTGTGTGTGTGTGTGTGTGTGTGTTCTATAAAAGTGTAAATACGCCTCTTGAAGCTACTCAAAGTAGGGGTGGACACGGGCCGGGCCGGGGATTACATTTTCTAATATAGGAACCGGACCTTACTCGGCCCAGTTGAAACGGGCTGGGTCCAAGGGTCCTTTTTTTTTTGTTTGAATAAGAAAAAGATAAAATTTGCATATATTGCAAACTGCACAGATTTGCACAGATTGCAAAACTACACAGCTTGAATTCCCTCCTTCCCAACCAGATCATAATGCATCCAAAGATGTTTCCCTCCTTTTCAGACAACCATAGCTTCAAAGTAGCACGGTAGCACCATATTTCCAAACTCAATGAATCACAGAGAGCGAGGGAGAGAGAAAACCTATCTCTGAAACTCAAATTCAACAAATTAGCTGATCGAATCGACAATTTGGTTAACCATAAACAAGAACAAAATATGAGATTGCGGCGGCAGCGACAATCTAATATAATCATCAACCAAAATAAAATCTAATTTCAAAAACAGATCAATATAAGAACATCGAAAATTGAATTGTATCATCATCAACCAAATCTACACCGGCCATTGGTGAAACACAAATCGATAATCACCGAATAGACAATTTGGTTAACCATAAACGCATATAATCACCAAATTACGAACTTTTTGAGATGCAATCGAAATATAAATCGACAACTGTGAACGATAAGAACTAAGAAGAATTGGACTACAGTGAATCAGAGACGACAACTGAGATTGGACATTAGAAGAAACAAACTAAAACTCACCAGAGACATGCCTGTTCCAGAAAAACGTTTAGCTCAGACTTTAGATCCGAAATATGCAAAGCCAAAAAAAAACCCAAACTTTATTATCAGTATTACAGTGGGAAAAAATTGGTAGATGCGAAGCGAAGAACCCTAAATGGTGGTAACATATCAATCATCAATCTACAAATGCAATTCAAATTTTAAGAAAACCGTAAATGGTGGCAACAGGATTCAATCATCAATCTACAAATTCTAACTTAAAACCCCTAAAATCCCTACCCCAGATATTCACAATTTCACATTAATAATGGTTGGTAGTGGTATTGGACCATTGGTGGTAGCAGTGTCCTCGACGGTGGTGATGGGATGATGGTGGTCGCGACGGTGCTGTGAGAGTATGAGAGTTGGAGCTCGATGGTGGTGATGGGGTGATGGTGGTCGCGACGGCAGAGGTGGTGTTGTTGTGTTGGTCCCGATGGCGGTGAGCATTGTGAGTAAGAGTTTGAGAGTAAGAGTCGAGGGGAGGGACAAGGAGGGAGTCGAGGGAGGGAGAGTCTGAGAGTCTGAGAGACTGAAGGTGAATTTTGGAACTCAGGAGGCGGAATTGGCTAGGGTTGAAACTAATGGTTAAGATTGGATGAAGAGATGATATCTTAAATCTCGTCTGTCCATTGTAATAACAAACGGGTTGGTCCAGGTACCCCAGGTTCCTATACTTTTGGAACCGGCCCGAACCGAAAACTTCAAAGGCCCACCCCGCCCCACCCCGTTCTGTTTTTACAAAATTAGGAACCGGCCTGTACCCGCCCCTAACCTAGATTACCCACCCCGACCCGCGGTTCCTATACCCGTTTGCCCACCCCTAACTCAAAGGCCAACCATTACTACTCAAAGGCCAAAGCCTACACGATTACTTTCAATTTTCCATCACTAAAACTAAGACAACCCTTATACACATTAAACAATCACAGATGTGCGTGTATGTATTTCATCTTGAAATCATGGCCTTTGAATATGCGATTTGCACATTGATTGCCTAAAAAAGGAGTGAATATTGACAATATATAAGATTTAGTTTTCATTTAATTTCCAAGTCAAAACAAAACATGCATGGTAAAATAAAAGAAATTTTTTCTGATTAAATCTTAGTAAAAGGTCAAAAATCAAAGCAATACAAGAGTGCTTTTATGCTTATACAACCCAATATTTTTTAATAATTTGTGGAAATATTTTCTTCCCCACATTATTTACTCGGCAACTACAAAAAGGAGAACAAAGTTTCAAATGAATAACCTCAGAAGCTTTGTTCTCTCTAAATTACCAGCAGTACAATTATTCTCTGGTGAAGAACTCCCCAACGTCGTCGTTTCTGAGTGTTCAACTGACGGCGTTGCCGCTCTACAATCCCTACGTTTCGTCCTCGACATCAATCCAGTTGCAGATGTCAAGCTAAGATTGAGATCGGGAGATCGGAAATTCTCCACGCAATCATCATTATCATTGACATCAAAATTAGGCCTCTTCCTCTTGGTAGACTGCCGTTGTACTTCTCGAACCTGATGTTCACGAACATAATGGATGTCACGACTATACTCGGGAAGTGGCTCCAACGCGCCACCACGTAACACCGTCTCCATCGCCCCCTGGCACACCTCCCACTTCCCACTCAAAAGAAGCCCCATCGCCCCATTTACCGGATTCATAGTCCGCCCCACCGCCTCAAATAATAACGACTGAAACAAAGCTAAAAGCAACAAAACCTAATCCTCATCAGCGATCTTAGATATCTTTAGAATTTGTTTAATACATATAGGCCGCAATCAGACGTCCACACTGCATACTTAACTATTTTTGCATCATTGATTGATCATCATGCAAAAACAACATATTACAGTGTGGATGTCTCAACCAATATTGTATGCACATACTTTGATTTTGATTTGATAGCGAAAAATGTTATATATACCGGGTCGTTGGGACTCAGAGACGGCGTTGATGAAGGAGAAGAGGCCGGCGCGTCCAAAGAACTTGGCCACAAAAACGGTGGCGTGGGCTTGAGCTTGGGGATCTTCCATCCATTGTAGGCACTGCCTAAGGATGCAGTTATCACTGCAACCCTTTCTTAGAACTCGGCATCCATTGCAACTCATTTTTCACGCATTAATATATTTTAAAAGATCGAACTCTGATGTTGGACGACGACGTCGACGACAACAACAGGACTAGATGATCTAACCCTAAGGGACTAGCCTGCGTTTAAGTAATATTGGAAATGTGGGAGGGCGTTATAATTGGCATCATGACTTGTATATATATAGAGAATGAGAGTGGGAAATATCATCTTATTGTAAGACCTGGCGTATATATTAAATTAGCTTTTAAAATTTATGAAGAAATATGGGGAGGGTAGTTATTCATTATCGTGCACGAGGAGTAATTCGTGATATCAACCAGCATTTGATTTGATTAACTAGGGTTAAGTTATAGAAGGTAAAGTTGTGTACATGGTTGACTCGACTGTATAATCGAGGGTTTTTGGGTTGGTTCCAAACTTCCAAGGAACTTGGTGAGGGACGGCTGCGGGTCTCCGCACAACGGTTTGGTTCACATGATTTCATTATTCCACCGTTGGATGTACCTCTGCATGGATATTATCTAACATCTGTGACCAGATTCTTTTTCTGTTTCTTTCTATTACTAGTTGTTTCTGGTTGTACTATAGCTTGTACTACTCATGCGACTCTTGCATGCTAAGACTAAAATATGTTTAGAGTAATGCTAGGGAGACTGAATTTTAGAAATTAAAATACATGGAAGTTGATGATTGGTTTATTACTTAAGTGTTGATAAACGTGATCATATTTATTAGAGACACATCATTTAGTTTGCTAATTTTGTCTTCAAATTTAGTCTTCCTAGCATTACCCATATGTTTAGTGTTTTTTTTGCTTTTTCTTTTGGTTGGAGGCTTGGAGCAAATTGCCTCAACAAAATTCCAACAAACCATGGAGTTCATCAACTGAAAAGGTTATAATATATGTGAACCCCCAAGCCAAAAGTTAGTGCTACTAGGATGATTACCATCTCTAGTTAAGCATTATTTAGAACATACAAGGAAGTGAGGAGTCTACTTCTATTGAATTTGACAGCCAATTAAGTTGGGTGTAAATGTGCATTCTAGCAACCATCCATTATTGCTTTTGCATCTAATAGTAGAAGAATATCTGACTTTCTCTTTCTTTCTTTTTTCAAAGAATGATAATCCCTTTACAGGACAAAAGGGTATCACATTTTATACTTAATTAATATAAATAGAAGATTCACATTGTATTATTTTGACTAAATTTAAGAAAATTCTTCAAAGAATCACATAATTAATGAATTTCATTAATTTTTCTTCTTCCTGTTGATGACATCATTACTTATTTGGAATAGATCGGAAGTTATGAAATGAGGAAGTCAAGAATAAGGAGAAAATGAATGTGCATTAGATTATGAATTGTATTGTGGAATCAGTATTTTGATTCCGTAAGTTAGAAATCCGAATAATTTCCAAGAGTAACTTTAGGTAAACATGCAATAAAATTAGACTCTATGCGATTAATTTTCCATATTAAAATAATTCGATAACATAAGGGGGGCGTTTGTTTGCCCTCACTAAGTTGAACTGGACTGGACTGGACTAGCTATTAGTCTAATATTGTGTTTGTTCCATGCTGGGACTAACATTAATGAGACTAAAGGGGACTAGCATGGACAAAACCCTTCACTAAGAGGTCTTAGCGAGACCCCCCAATAACCATGGGACTAGCTAAGACTATCCTCTCTTTCTCGTCCTCGTCATGCTCAACGACCACTCTCGACAGACTCCTCGTCATCTCCGGTCACCTAGATCAATCATTAACTTTCCGACTCTCTTTCAGATCCATTTCACAACCAACTTTCATATAAAATATACCAAATTGAAGCTGGGAGTGACAAGATTACGATTTTACCTGAATCGAGGCCAAAATGTGGTCGAATGTGGCTGGAAAATGGCCTGGAAGTCTCGGCCTGTTTGGGCTTCTTCAAATCCATGACAGATTCGAGCATTCAAAGCTAAGATCTCGGTCCAGGGATGGTGATGAATTTTTTTGGTGGTGCTAACTTCATCCAATTTAACGAGGAAATGGTAGGAAAAAATGAAGAAAAAGATAAGATCATAATAAAATATTAATAATTTATATATTAAATAATATAATATTATAATTTGTTATTATCCAGCTTCTTAGTCCAATACTGTACCAAACGCTTCACTAAGTTAGTCCAGTTTAGTCTAGTCTAAGCCAGTCCAGCTTAGTCCTTGAAGCTAATCCAGTCCGAGATAGTCCGGCGCAACAAACGTCCCCAAGATGTTATACAATATGATAAGTAAAAGAACATTATTACACATAATCATATATGTATTTTATTAAACGAATGATTTAGACAAATTAATTTCACTTAAAGAGTTAGTGAGTGGCTATATTTACAAGGCGCAGAAGTTGGGAAGAAAGTGGCACGCATGGGACTAATGATAACGATGACGATATAGACAAAGTAAAGGCATTGAAGTTATAGTCGCGACTCGGGTACGTGGCATCTTTATCTTATTAGGACCACAATTCATTATCTAATCTCACATAAAATATGTTTAATTTATTGTTAATTAAGTGATGTTCCAACAAAATGAAGTTTGTGGAGAATGGGATTCCAATACAATTAAATTTTCACAGCTCACTTTGATTTGGATTTCACATGCTTCCGAATGTAAGGCCACTCTGGTCATTATGGATTATGCTAGTCTATATTGTGGGTGGTGTTACCCACACTCTCATTTTTATTTCTCACACACCTCGTTTAATTTCCAGTCATCAGATCAAATTAATTGAAGAAAATTAATGGACACAAGTTACAAGAATGATGGAACATCACTTGGCCGTACATACGATGCCAAAAAATGAATTCATTAGATTAATTGTAAGACAAGGATGTGGTATAGGATGTTTCCATTTGCAATTGAAGCTATTTCAAAACGTCCCTTCTGTGAGCTAGAAGGACACACATACTTTTCGGGAGAATTCAAGACATGACTTTCAGCCAATATATGAATGTTCTTTAACTATTTGAACTTTAAGAAGTTTCCCATAATTTACACTTTGTTTTTAGTTTTGCCCGCATAATCTCAAAACCTTTTTTGTGAAGCTCTCTATATATTGAGATTCTTAGAGCTGCACTTTTTAAGTTTTAGAATCTTTCATCAATTAGTTTCACAAGCAAATGGTGAAGCTCTGTTTATCATGATAGGGAAAGGTGCGTCAATAAAGAGTAACGTTTACCACATTTGGCGATTATATCTTTATAAACGTAAAGTTAAAACCCACTTGGATGAATAAATCTCACTTTATTGGATTTCGGATGAGTGAGAAACGTAATGTAATCGCTATATAATATTATGTGACTAAAACCCTTTTTTTTTTCGATGACAGAAAGAATAACCCTAATGATCCAGATCTGTCAGCAACTACAAGGCTTTAGGATAAAATCTACATGTGTAATCAATCATTTGCAAACTAAATATGTTAAGTAAACTCATGCGTTTACACCCGATTCTGTGAAGGTTTAAACCTAGGACATCGAAAATTACGACTTGTTCTTACTCACCTATGCCACTAGACCATTTGGGTTAAGGGTAATGCTATACGGAGACTAAATTTTTTTGTAAACTAAATGACATGAAAATCGATGATTGTATTATTACTTAAGTGTTGATTAACATTTTGATTTCTTATTGGTGACACATTATTTATTTTTCAAATTTAGTCTACCTAACATTACTCTTCAGATTTAATTAAATAGTTTAATCTTTTAAGGGTCGGTTTTCCTTCAAATAAAGAATTCAGGTTTAGCAAATAAAACACATTGTGCTTACTTGGGATTGTACTCTTGTGACGGCAAATGCTTCGTAATGTACGCTCCACAGGTAAAGATAAACGGGGTTTCATGCATGGCCTGTCTTTTATTCCCCCTGTGAACCGTATACCAAGCCTCTGTGTATGCATTGAGTTGTCTTTGGCAGAAACAAAGCGCATAAACATACAAACCCTATCGATTTGAATACAACTAAGGGAAGTTAACAGCAACTTATTTTAAGCAAATATCTGCGTAATTTAGTAATATATCATGGATAACTGCTAGCCGCGGCACACAGTATGTGACCTTTAACCTAATCTGTGATTTTTCTTCTTGTTTTTAACTGAAAATTTGTCACCTCAAAGAAACGAAATCCAGACGTGGAAAATGGGTTCCGGAGAAAGTTAATGTGAATGTGATGATGACGATCATTTCCAAGATTGTGGGGTGGCGTGTAAGAGTGACTTCAGGTTTTGAGCGGTTTCTTTTATGCAGGAGTGATTGACTTTTGCCGTCAATAGTTCCCTATCATTCTAGCTATTAAATTTTTAACAAATAATAGCGAAAATTATATATCCTTAAAATTCGTGCGTTAGAATTGGGGCTGATTTAAGATTGTAATAATTTAAAAAAGGAAAAATTCACATAAATGACTTATTTTCTTAATCTTGGAATCAAAATATGATTTTTCGAACATGCACAGAACATGCATATGATATGCGCAACAATAGAATAGAAATTATATTTTTCCTATCCTTGTAATGACTTAATTACCCTCGTGTATAAATAGATTATTTCTTCCAACCCAGTCAACATTTGCATGTTTCTCCGAAAATCTCTCACCCAATTCCTATGTCAAAGAACCCTAACCACCAAATCGTGGGGAAATGGCGAAGTTCGGATTTCTTCCCCAAATCATCATCTTCTTCCCCAAATTTGAAATCTCATTTAAAACCCATATGGGTCCATCTAGTTGTATTTAGCAAAATCTCACTGTATTTTGTGAAATCCTTCCAAATCTGGAACCCCAAATTCGAAATCCCATTATATCCCTTCGTCTACTTCTCCGTTGATTTCATCGGATTCGGGCTCGCCGTCGACATTTTGGGAAGACGGAATGTCATTGGAAACGACAATTTCTTACAGAAAATGACTCATTTACAGGGCTCGTCATCTTCTTCTGTGTGTTTAGTGAATGATTTAGGGAATGTCGTCGACGGTTTTTTATGCAATTTGTGTGCTTTTTTCATATCAGAACCTCTCTTTCTCTCCCTCTCCCGGTAATGTTATG